ACTTCCCTCTTCTTTTTTTTCTTTTCTTTTTCCCATGTTTTTTTTCTTTTTTTCGTTCTTTCTTTCCTTCCCTCTTTTAAGGCAGCTTCCATCTTCATCATCTTCCTTTTCTCTCTGTTTGTTTGCTCGCTTGGCGTCCCTTTGCCCGTCTTCGCCGCCTCCGCGAAGGTTTATTTTTTAGTTCACCGCCCCTTCGCGTTGTTATGTGCGCACACGCACGCCGATGGCTTGGGGGACTTCCCCGCAGGAGGCACGCCCGCCCCCCCCCCCCCGCGCGGCCTCGTCTCTGCAAGCGACTTCGTCTACCGGCGCTCCTCCTCGTCCTCGGGGTTGAGGCGCACGCAGTCGTCAATGCGGAGGATCGTGATGGCCGCCTCAGTGGCAAAGTGCAGCGACTTGATCTTGCTTGGCTGCGGCTCCAGCACGCCGGCCTCCATGTTGTTGCGCAGGCTCCCCTCGATGAGGTCGAGGCCGAAGAAGCGCTCGGTGCCCTTGCCCTTCCCCGCAGTCTGCTGCTCGCTGTGCACGACGCGCAGCCGCGCCACCAGATCCGTCGCGTCCATCGCGGCATTCAGCGCTAAGGTCTTTGGGATGATGAGCAGCGCCTCGGAGAAGGCCGCAATCGCCAGCTGCTCGCGGGAGCCGAGGGTGTGGGCAAAGTTCTCGAGGTACACTGAGAGCGCCGCCTCCACCGCGCCGCCGCCGGCGACCACGGAGCTAGCCTCCAGCGTGCGTGCCACCGCCCACAGTGCGTCATTCAACGCGCGTTCCATCTCCTCCAGCACAATGTAGTTGGCACCTCGGCATATGATGCTGGAGCACGTCGCGTTGCTCGTGCCGGAGATGATGATGACGTCGTCCTCGCCAAAGCGTTCCTCGTAGACGCACTCCGCCTTGCCGAGCCACTTGGCGTCAAAGACCTCCTCCCCCTCAAGATCTGAGAGCGTGTGCACCACTTGTGCCCCGGTGACCTTCGCAATGCGACGCATGTCGTCCTTCTTTACCCGGCGCACACCAAGCACGCCCTCGTCCACCATGTACTTCATCATACTGTCCTCAATACCCCAGGAAGTCAGAATCACATTGGCGCCCGCGGCAATCATCTTCTTAATGCGCTCCTTTGTGATGTCGAGCTCGCGCTGGCGTATGGCCTCTGCCTTACTGGGGTCGGTAATGGTGATGTTGATGCCGATCTTCATCTTCACCGCACGCAGGTCAAAGTCGACGAGCGCAATACGAGCATTCTGCACCGAAGTTGGCATGCCCTGCGCCGCACGGGAAAGCCCCAGTGCGAAACCCTGAACCAGCATCGACTCTCGGGCGCTCTTGCCGTGCTGAAGCAGGACACTCACCGCCTTTCTGGGGTACACGACATCGCCCAGTTCATTTACGGTCTTAACGGAAAGAATCGCATCCACGACAATTTTGGCAAACAGGTCAGCATCAGAGCTGAGGATCTTGCTGCTCATTGAGGTACGTGCAACGTTGAGGAGGACGTCCTTGCCCAGTTCATCCACTGGCACACTGAGGCTGTCTTTAAGGTAACGCACTGCCTCACGCAAGGCGAGTTTATAGCCGGCAATGATGCTTGTGGCGTGAATGCCCTGCACAATAAGGTCCTGCGCACGCTTGAGCAGCTCAGAGGCAATAATAACAACCGACGTGGTGCCGTCACCGATTTCCTTGTCCTGGAGCTGGGCGAGGTCAACGAGGAGGCGGGCGGCGGGGTGCTCCACGTCTAGGCTCTTAAGAATCGTGGCACCGTCGTTTGTCACGCAGACATCGCCAATGTCGTCGACCAACATCTTGTCAAGGCCAACAGGCCCAAGTGAGGACTTCACAATATTGGCTACTGCCATTGCCGCCGTCACATTCTCACGGCGCACAGGCAGTCCACTTGTGCGGGTGCCGTTAATGCCTAGTGCCTGTTTCTGTCTCGTCTGCATCTTTGTTTGTTTTTTTTTTTTGCTCCTCCCTTATCTTCTCTTTTTGTTGTTGTTGTTGTTGTTGTCTTTTGCTCGTGGCTTCCTTTTTTGCTTACAAGGCCTTACCGAATCAAACTCCTGCCATTGTTATTTGGCGCGGGTGCGGCGGCCGGGAAGAAAAGCAAGAAGCAGCATCATCGCAACCGTCAACACGGTGCAAAATAGAGGTCCGCCGCAATGGAACACAAAAAGACACACACACAGAGAGAGAGAGAAAGAAAGAGAGAAAGAGAGGGAGGGATCCTTCAGCTACGTCGGGCGCAGCGAGGGCGCGGTTTGGGTCACATCTCGCTAGCCACCCTCAGCCGGTTCGCGCTCCTGGAAAGGAACGCAAAAAGAATGCCGACAAGGACGAGTACCATGGAAAAAATGCTAATGGCCAAAAAACCACTTAAGTTTTTACGCACTGTGGAGTAGACGACGTCGGTGCAGACGACAGGAGACATGGGGGGGAAGGACGGACAGACGGGGCAGACGGCATCAACCCACTTGGGCGGGGCACTCGCACTGTAGCACGCCCCGGCCAGGCAGCAGCCGTCGCGGAAACCGGAGCAGTTGTAGTGCTCCTGCAGAAAACAAATATCATCGCTTCGGCCCGTCTTTGTGTTATTGACGCCGCGCTCCCAGGCGTCCAGGAACTTGCCAGGATCCATCAAAGCAACCTGCGTGTCCCGGTCGTGCACGGCCGCGGCGATGATGAGAGCAAAGAGAGCGATAAATAAAATGACGAGGTAGCCAACGTACACTAGCAAAAACATCATCTGCTGCTGGCGTATCCAAATGAAGCCAAAGATGGTGAACAGGCAGAGAATAACCCCAAAGATAAAGGCCGACAACGCAATGTGACCGCATGGTTCACAGAGGCGCACCGCCACATTCTCATGGGCGACAATACCAGACATGATAAGCAGCATCGACGCCATAATAAACGTAAAGTTGATGAATATGAGAGCATAGCCAAAGAGAGCCTGAAATGCCTTTCTAGAACCGCGGGGGGAGGAGTCGCTACGCCCACCGTCTGCCGCCTCGAAAGACTCCTGTCCGCGAGCAACCGCGGCAGTTGAGGGGAGGTTGCGCTCCTGTGGCGCAGCGGCCGCAAACGCAAAACCATCTTCCTCTCGGTTTGCGACAAGCGGCGTCTCGAGCTGGCCCCGCAGCGACTGACTGCGCAGGATGTCGCCCACGAAGGAATCTATGGAATTCTCTCGTTCATCCCTCGCCGTTGAGCCCATCCCCTCCCTGCATTACTTTATATACGTATATGCCTTTCTCCTTCCCCCCTCCCCCTCCCGGCTCGCACGCCCAGAGAAGGATCTGCCCCCAGGCGTGTATTTTTGACCAAGAAAGGCAAAAGAATCATAGCAACGGAGGAGGTGCCCAGGGAAGCAAAGAGACAGGAGGAATCCCCTTCAAAAGGCAACAAGCACAAAATACAAAATAAGAGCGACCCACACGTGGAGGTGCGGTGCCTCCGGAGAAGAGTGGGCGGCGTCCCGTGAGAGAACCTCAACCCGCCATTTGCCTTATCCCAACTCCCCATAATTTTCTTCTGCCAACTGCTTCGTATTGCCACTAACAGTTGTCCTCCACTTTGTTTCATTTACTCTATTTTTTTTCGTTTCTTTTCTTTTTTTTTTTTCTATTCGTCCGGCAGCCTTCACTTCCCTAAAACCCACCACCCCCAATCTATCTCTCTCTTTTCTTTTCTTTTTTTTTAGCATTGATCCAAGAAAAGAAAAAAGGTGTCAGTTTCCCTTGCCGCTTTTTTTTTTTGCTCTTGTGTGTGCGTGTGCTCCTGACCATTTTATTTGCGATGACATCGTCGTCCATGTCAACTTTTAATCCTTTTAGTGGAGACTGCTTTCGTCCGCCGTACTGCCTGCGGTGCCGCTTGGGGTTGCCCGCTTGCGTGTGCGCTTTTTGTGTGCCGTGCTGCCGCGCGGTGGGCCCTCACTTTCCGCCTCTCTTCCCACACACGCACGGCGGGAGGCAGGCAACCTCCTCGCTGCGCCGTCGCCCGACGGAGGAAAATGTAGCCCCTCCGCGTGCCGCCTCGCACCGCGGCTGGGACTACATCTTTGCCAGCGTCAGCTCGGCGCGCTCCTGGCGCCTGCGGAGCTCATCCTCGCGCTTCAGAAGCCCCTCAAAGTATCGGACCGTCTTGACCTTCAGCTCCATCGTTGCATCCCTGTCGAGGCAGAGGACGGCAGAGCGGTGCCACTGCAGGGCGGTGATGGGGTGGGAGTGGCTGACGCTTCCCTCCACACACTGCGCCACGGCCACCGCCTTACTCGCCCCCGTCGCAATCACAAGGACGCTTTGCGCCTGCAGCACCGTCCTGATGCCAACCGTGAGGGCCATCGTTGGCACCCTGCGGACGTCGTTGTCGAAAAAGCGCGCGTTGGATGCAATAGTCTCGTCGTTGAGGGACTTCACGCGGGTGAGGCTGTCGAGGCTGCTGCCTGGCTCGTTGAAGGCCAAGTGACCGTCGGTGCCAATGCCAGCAATGAATAAGTGAATGCCGCCCACCTGTCGGATTTTGTCCTCGTAGCGCTGGCACTCATGGAGGAGGTCCGGGACATTGCCGTCCAGCAGGTTGCGGTTCTCCTCGGGAATGTCAACAAAGTCAAAGAAGTTGGCCTTCATGAAGTAGTAGTAGCTCTGCGGGTGCTCGCGGGGGAGTCCGACGTACTCGTCCATGTTGAACGTGATCACGTTGCGGAACGTGATGCGTCCCTCGCGGTAGGCCTGGATCAGCCGCTGGTACGTCTTCAGTGGAGATCCACCGGTGGGGAGGCCCAGCACAAACGGCCGGTCCTTGGAGGGAGAGAAGTCACGAATGCGCTCAATGATGTACCCCGCGACGTAGTCGGCGACAGCGTCGCTGTCTTCAGAGATAACAATACGCATCTTCTCTGGAAGGGTCGCTGCTTGCTTTTGGTATATATATATGTGTCTGTGTGTGGGTGTGTGTGTAGACTGGGAGAGACGGCTGTGCCTGCGTGCAGGGTATATGTAGTTATATACCTGGTGTGTGTCCTCTTTCAATCTCTTCTCAAAGCGACCGCTGGTTGGGTGAGCAGCTCCCCCCTTTTGTTTTTGCCTGTTTGCTCTTAGTTTATTGTTGTTGTATGCTGCGTGACTGCCCGCGCGCGGTGGCAATCCCCCCCCCCCGCGGGCGGCGAGAAAAAAAAAATGAAGTAAATGAATAAAATTTTAGAGACACGGCGGTGGTGAGGGACCGAGAGGAAGAAGAAACAAACAAACAAGCAAACAAAACACCGGCAGACGTGGGCACATGACCGCGGCAGTTGGAAAAAAAAAAGAGGGAGGGGGGGAGGGGGGGGAGTTTGTTGGTGACGGTGGCAGCCCACGCCGCAGGGACGCAGTCACACACGCGCGCGCAAAAAGAAAAAGAAAGGGGACAAAACACGCACGACATCCACATAACAAAATGCCTACGCCATTCCGTACATAATTTCTCGCCCGCGTCTACGCGCGCATGTTTGCTCGTCGGGTGTGTTGCGTTCTCCTCCTCCTCCTCTTCGTCCCACCGCCCCTGTGTGCGCCCGTCCCTGTCCCACCGCACCACGCAAGGGAGCGGGTCACAACGGCCGACGGCGGAGTTCCACACACGCACACGCAGAAAAGGTGTGGGACAGTGAAGGGGAGGGGAATGATTGGCTCACGCAAAGAAGCACAGACAAAGTGGGCCTCAGGCAGGGGGCAAAAATAAAAAAAAATGAGTTTTACAAACTGTGGGGAAGCGTAGCTGCAGGGAGAAAACGAAGGCAAGAATAGAAAGGTAAAGCGTACGCGGGCGTAAACACTGCTGTGGGAGAAAAGCGTCAATAGGCTCATGGAAAAAAGTGTGGGGGAAAAAAAAGGTAACAAGAAGCCTCCCAACACACTCACTGATGAAAAAAGAGGAAGGGCGAAGGGGAAAGATGCACAGCACTCACTCACTCACTCACTCTCGCTTTCAGAGAGAGAGAGACGCAATATAATTATATGCCCCGTGCATAACCGTTGGTGCCGCCGTACAAATGTGTTCCTCGCCCCTCACCCCCACACCCACCCCCCTTCACCTCTGATAAGTACGTGTGTTCGTTGCACACACTCAAACATCTACATTCACACACTCTATATAAACATATATACCCCTCTCATACACAACTACAGGCCAACTAGAGGCTACAGACATCTCCCCCATCGTGCCTGAACACCAGGACTAGTATATAAGTGTCACAATAATCCTTGTAGGGCCAAACACTGCAGGGTTCATTCTGCCTACCCACAACTTCTTCATATTTTTCTTCGTCTTCGCTCTTTGTGCGCATGCGTACGTGTCCTCTCTCTATTTCGCTCTTTGCCTTCTACGTCCGTTGCTTTTGTTGTTGTGCGTTCTTTTCAAGGCTTCACTGTTTCCACTTAGGCAAACTACGTCCGTATTTTCTTTTCTCTTCTGTTTTTTTATGTTGTTTCCTTTTGTTTCTTTTTGTTGTTTTTGTTTTTGCTTTTTGTTTTTCCCCTCTTCTTCTTACTGAGGGAAGCGTCATGTACGTGCATCCTTGTCATCGAGGTGCGCCTACACGTTTCTTTTTTGTTTTTCTTTTTTTTTGTTGCATTTACCTTTTTAATGGAACATCGTGAAGAGAGCACTTCTGCCCCGTCACACTGTGGTAGGAATTATTGTTGCCCGAAACTCGCGGGGGCGAGCCTGACACGCCTCCTAGCGCCTGCGTCCGCTTCGTCTGCTTCTTCTTGTGCCGCAGGGGGTTGTTGCTGACGCCGACGGCCCCATCCCCAGTGCCGGCGTTAACCGTCGTGGTGGGGGTCATCGTGGTCGTCGTGGTCACCGTGTTGCTGTGAGAGTTGTGCATTGTCTTCGGCACCGTGTTGGTGTTTGCGTCCCGCATGACGGAGAGGGCATTGAGAGCCACGCTGTTGGTGGAGGTGAACGCCGTCGGCACAGGCGAGCTGCTGCCGCTTGGTAGCGCGGGAAACATGGGGTACGCGAACTTAATTGACTTTTTCAGGGAACCAAATTTCCATCCACCCGCCGGGTCGCTCTTGGAGACGGCGAAGTTTTGATTCTTCCTGTTTTTGCGGGGAAGCGTGGAGTTTGCCTGCGGCACGCCACCCACCTTCGAGCCCTGTTGGCTCAAGGGCGAGTGGGGTTGAACCGTGCCGTGCGTCGTGCCACCGGCCACCTTCAGCGTCTGCAGCGGACTAGCAGGCGTCTCCTGGCTGCCTTTGTGCTCCAGCTTGGCCGCCGTCTTACCGCCGTTGAAGATGGGCGTGGCCATCGTGTGGTGGGTTTGCATCTGCCGCGTGCCAATCGTCGGCAGCTCCCCGGTGCTGCTGGTCCCCCCGCCACTCACCGTCGAGCCCAGGTAGTGGCTCCACAGCGTCCCCAGCTGCTGGTAGGGGGAGGGCTCGTGCCCCCCGTTTGCCACGCTAACGCCCACCGCCGTCGCCTTATTCCCAGCCGACCACCCGTCCTCCACCTCCAGCCCCTTCGGCTGCAGGGCCAGCAGCGGCAAGACCAGCTCTCCGCCTTCCTCCACCTCGCTAGAGGACAACGGCGCCTTGGGCTGCACAACGGTGGGGCAGGTGACGGTTGCCGCGTCCACGGCTGGTGTTTGGTACTGCGCATAGAGCGCCCGCAGCTCTGCGTCGTACTCTACCCGAAAATTGTCCTCCGTGAAGTACGGCATATTCATCAGTGCCGCACAAGAGGGCCGCTCGACTGGATCCGTGCGTAGGCACGCCGTCAAGAAGTCCAACCACGACGCCTTGCTACCGTAAAAGCGCCGTTGCAAGGATTCCTCCAGCGGGGTTGCCGGGAAGGCCACACGACGGTACAGGGAGTTGCGCTCGAAGATGTCCACCATTCGCTCTGGCACGGGCCCACAGCTGCGCATGATGAGGGCCAGCTGGTCTAAGTCGGAGTCCCCAGGGAAGAGCGGCTGGCCGTCGGAGAGCTCGGAAAAGATGCAGCCAATGGCCCAGATGTCTACCGGCTTGCCGTAGGAGACGTCCCCAACTAGCAACTCGGGGGCGCGGTACCAGCGGGTGGCGACGTAGTCGGTGTACTTCCCTTTGGCACTCAACTGCCGCGCAAACCCAAAATCGCACAACTTCAAAACTCCATCTTTTGATACTAAAATGTTCTCTGGCTTAACATCGCGGTGCACAATGTTGTGCGCATGGCAGTAATCCACCCCATTCAGCAGCTGGTAGGTGTAGCGCCGCACCTCCTCCGGGGACAAGCCGTGGCGCTTCTCCTCGATAAGCTGCAGAATGGTGTTCTCCACGTACTCAAAAACAAGATACAATTTCCCGTCGCGGCGAAACACGTCCAGCAAGGAGATGATGTTCGGGTGACGGAGCTGCTTCAGCACCCGCACCTCTCGCAGAGAAGTCTTACGCACGTGATCGTCGTCCTCCGCCTGCTTGTACTTTTTGATGGCGACAATTCGGCCGGTGGCGCGGTGGCGCGCCTTGACGACGACGCCGTACGTCCCCTCCCCGAGGATGCCTAAAGTTTCGTACCCTTCCATGCGCGGTGCCGCTCACCCCGCTCCACTCCCCGCCCCCCACGTCCCCACACGCCCCCCGCGCCGGCGATGGCTCACGCTACCGCCTCCTCTGCACGGCGCGACCCCGCGCCCCCTCTCTTCTGCCGCCCCCTCCTCTCTCTCTTTCCTCCTCCTCCTCCTCCCCCCACCGAAGCTTCTGCTGTTCTAGTGGTGTCGTCTGTTTCCTCCCGCGTGTGTGTTGCGGCTGTTCCTCCCTTTTTTTGTTCGCTTCCTCTCGTTGCTTCCTGCCTCCCCTTTCACTCCGCCCGCCGCTCCGTGTGCGTGCGCCGCCCCTCGCCCTCGCTGCCCACGCAGTCGCACCCGAAGGCAAGCGGTTCCGTATCACTCAGCAGCAAATAAAAAGAAAAAACCGCCGACAAGCAGAAGAGAAGCAAAGATGCAAACAGGCGCAAGAAGAAAAAAAAACGCAAAGAACAGCGGCGCAAAGCAGCAGACTGCAGATCCGCAGCAGCACTGAAAGAGAAGGAATAAAAAAAAACACAAACAAACAAAACAAACAAAACAGACAGGGGGGGGGGAGGGGAGGCGGCGTCACAAACTCACGTCCTCGGGCGCACCGAAGTCGCTCATCAACGTCAATCGCAGAAGCGTTATGGCGCCGCGAAGCACAACCGCCGTCGCCGCAATCGGTTCAACAAAACTGAGCGGCGGTGGCCCACGCACGCGCTCCTGCTGGCCTGTGCCTGTGCCTTCGCCGTCGGAGTCGGAGTCGCTGTCGCCGCTTTCCGTGTCGCTGCAGCAGAAGTAATTTGTCGCCTTGTCGGTGGCGCCAGCGCCCCCCGACGGGGGCGCGTGGCTGCGGCGATAGAAGGCGACGTCCTCGCGAATGCAGACGTGCAGCGGTGGGTCCCGTGCGGCGGTGATGGCGTTGGCGGCGCGGGACTTCGACTGCCCAACCGCATCGCTCTCCAGCCGCAGCCACGCGTGCCGCAGGGGTCGGTGTTGGGCGGTGAGATGCGCCGCCAGACGCCGCGGCCCCTCCAACGCCGCCTCCGCCAACATCCGCAGCACGGCAGCCACCGCAGGCGCGTTTGCGGTTGCCCAGCGACGGGCCCTTTCCTCCGCTGCGCCGCGGGCGGCCTCGGCTGGCCGCGTCAACGCCTCCGCACTGAGGCGCAATTGACGCGCGAGGGCGATCGGCAAGGCACCGCCAGCCCGCACATAACCGAGCCCGCACTCAGGAGCAACACCAGCGCCCGACGGCGATGCGTCCATGGCCGCCCGCACGTTCGCCAGGCACTTGAGCAACAAATTCATGTACACGCGGCGCTGGGACGCCGTTGGGCCCACGAGCAGTATGGAGCTCAGCCCCAAAATTCGCTCAGGACCACCCCTGCCCTCTTCCAATGGCGCGCTCTCGTCCAACTCCAGCAGCACCACTCGCACGCCGTGGCCCCCACTCAGCGCAGGCTCTCGCACTGCGGCAGAAGAGCAAACTTCGCGTAACGGCCCGTATACCAGGCGACGCACAGGGACAAGCGCATCCTCAAGCTGACCCGGCAACACCAACCCACCACGGCGCAAAAGAGCTGCGGTGGGGCACCAAACAGGTGTCTCCGCAACACCATCGCTTTTCTTCGGTTTGCAGCGTCTCCAATACTGCAAACGGCGCAGCAATGCGTCAAACACGACCTCATTCACCTCGTCTACCATAAAGATGGGGCGACTACGCTGTGCTGCTTCACTTGTGTTGGCGGTGGCGTCGTAACGAAGTCCATATGTCTTTATAACCGGCGGTGCGTGCGAAGGAGTGAGTATGGCCGCCACACCGTGCTTCCTGGCCCACTCGTAAAGCATCCGGGCAGCTTCCAACTGCGCCTTCTCCTGCTCTGCCGTGGTCCAGTGGCGCTCCACAACTCTTCTTCCGTCATTGCTGCCCTCACTCGTGTCATGACTACTCTCACTGTCAGCGACTTCCTTCTTATTGGAGTGTGCAAAGTCCAGCAACCCACCCAGATCATCGATGCGCAGCAACATAACCCGCGAGTGTTGCTTATCGTTATCGTTATCATCATCAACATCGGCCCGGCGCTCCAAGGCAAAGAAGGGAGTGGCTGTGCCGTGGTGCGGGTAAATCTCGGGAGACACGGTCGGCAGCAGAAAGGCGCCAAACGGCAGGACGCAGGAGGAAAGTACAGAGTCCCCCTGGCAAGGCACAATGTATGCCGCGGGGCGAAGCAAGACGTCTCGTGCCCGGGCCACGATGGAGGCGGGGGTCACCTGCCCGCTTGGGAAGACCGGAGTCCAGAGCAGACGCACAAGCAGTTGCCGAAGCGCCGTCAGCACATCTCCCTCAACCTCGGTGCACATTGTGAAATGAATGCACCCCTCCACCACGTGTCGTGGCGCCGTCTTTGAAGCCGCAGCAGCACCGTAGACGTATGGCTGCAGACCTCGAAGAGATGCACGCACCAGTCTGCCAATCACGTCACTTCCCCCGCGTTGCTCCACGTCGCTGCCGTCATCGTCTCCGAGGACGGGAACGTCCCGCAGAGCACCCGGGGTTGTCAGCTCGCGCAGGACTCGCACCAGCCGAAGCCGATTGCGCAGCGAGGACGGGGAGCAAATGACCGGATACTGTGCGGCAGGGGAGAGCAGCTGGCGCAGCAACGCCGCGCTCGTGATAAGTAGCCGACCCTGACCGTCCAGAAGCCGTGGAGTACGCTCATTGTCTGCACGTGGCGATGCTCTCGTTGTGTTGCTCGGGGAATCTGCAAGGAACGCGCGCCAAAGCACCCACCATGCCTCTAACCCTGCCGTCGCCCGCAGCACATCCCCCGCCCTTGGGCGGAAAAGCCGCAGCTCACCCTCGACGCTCACCGAGGCTGCGCATAAGCCGTGAGGTCCAAGATGCAGTCGCTCTGCACCCTCCTGCAACGCCCGTGCAAGCGCCTCCAGCGACCCCGCTGGGGAGAAGACACGCATCCTCCGCTGTGGAGTCGGCGCCGCGGCAGAAGTTTCTGCGTCCTCCGGTCCTACGTGTGTCATTGCGCGCCTCTCGCCGACCGCGCATTCCAAACACGTCACCGCTTCCACCTAATTTTCGTCCTCCAAGAGAAAAATGCCCACGGAGTCTGCAGGGAGAGAACAAAGCGCGATAGGATGTCTTTTTTTTTCATTTTTTTTTTCCCTCCCTCTTTCCGCTCATGCATTTCCTTCGCTTTACAACCTCTGGCCATCGCACGACGGCCAACGCGTGTGTGCTCATCGCCTTCTTCTAACCGCACACGCCATGCAGGCCAACCGTCGGGGCTCGTTCCAGCCAGTGCGTGGGCCGACACAGAATGCAGACACACGCAAGGGGAGAAGCGCCTCCACATACCCGTTCTGCAGAAAAGAAAAAAAACACGGGACCCACCGCAGAAGCCATACAGAGGCATATGTATATATATATATATAAGGAAACAAAAGAAAAATGGCTATAGACAAGGAGAGGGAGAAAGAGCGGATACTGACCACGCCCGCTCCTCCCTTCCTTCGTTCATGGCGCCAGGGGGGCATACACACACATATACACACGCATAGCACTGCTCAGTTTAAAAGTGTCATCCCTTCTCTTTTTTTTCCTTAGACTTGCCTCGGTCTTCCTTGTTGCTCTTATCCCGCCTGAAGGCTCCCTTCCTGTACTGCTCCAGCTCGTCTTCCTTCTGCTTTTGCACGGCATCAATGGTTGGCTCCCCAAACCCGTTTTCGCCCGTGTCATACAGACGCTTCAGGAATGAGTCGTTCTGCATCCGCCTCCCTGACTGCTTCGCCGAAAACAAGGCATCCAACGGCGCCTTCCAGCGGTCAAGTTCCGCGTCCCCAGTGGACTGAAAACTCCCCATGTCGCACACTGGCGGATCGCCAATGTCGGCGAAGGTGTCGGCGCTTGGAATGACAAGAACAGGACCGCGTTCAGGGTCCAACTCAACGTGCTTTAAATCAAAGTTTGAGACGAAAAGGAGATGATTCATTACCGCGCGGAGCTTTGTTGCGTCCGCATCAGATGTAAATATCAAGTAGGCGCCGTAAATATGTGCGATAAAACGCATGCAGCCCACCAATGTCTTTAGCATCGTCATGTCCCCGTCGAACGCATCTAATTTGTTGCAGATAATAATGGTTGGGATCCCGGAGAGGCGCAGGCGGCCAAGGTCGGGGTGGTCCATGCCCAGTAGGCGCTTGGCTCGACTCAGGAGTTTGTCCGGCGTTGTGGACCCCTTGGCGCGCATCTTCTGCGAAATCTCCACCACGCGTCGGTCCACCCGCTTCATCCAGTACGCCACCGTGTCCCACATGGTCGATGGCTCAGAGCAATCCACCACAATGGCCAGCAGCATCGTGTGCACATTCTCCGGGGTAACAACCACGTCACAAAGCTGCGACAGCTCCATGCCCTGCGCCAACTCCCAGAAATGCGCCACCTGTGGGATGTGTCGGTCACTACGCCTGGCAAAGGAGTAATCCAGCGCGGTGGTGGGCTTCACCTTGAGAGAACTCTTGGGAACGGAGGAGCTGGCGGTGTTCATGCCGGCGAAGAGGCGACGCAGAACGCTAGTTTTCCCACCACCGGAGGTTCCCACAATCAGGACATTTACCTCGGTCTGTGTCATCTGGTTCTCCCTCGTGTTGAGTACGATGTTCTGCCACAAGTCCTTTGTGGGGTCAACGATGACCTGTGGCATTGCTGGCCCCTCGTCGGGTGGTGATGCGACACCGTCGAGGTTCACCGCATCTCCCTGCAGACCACCGTTGAGGCCACTGGGCTCTACGTCGGCGTCGCTAGGGCCGCCCTTCTTTTCCTCCTGGGCAGCGCCGCCCCGCCCTTGCATTTCCGTCGCGATACGCTTTAGTGGTAGTGCCACGTAGCTGCTAGCGTGATAGTCAGCCCCTTCTCTCGCACAGAGGCACAGGGACGGAGTATCCCCCACGGCACTTTCCCTATCTGCTTTGTTTGTTCCTTTCCTCGTTAAAATCGTCCTCCTCCCCGGTCGTTCACAACCCTCCCAGGCGGCGGCTGTGACGAGGTCAGCGACGCTTAGGCGGCAGCCACACACACACACACACGCACGCACGCACGCGGACAACCAAACCGGCAGTCGCCCAAAGCGAAGAAATAAAAGGCAGAAAAAATGCACCGCCGTGGCAGCAACGACAAGTCGGGTAGGATGCCATGGAAAGAGCCGACAGCCACGAGAGCGGTGCGGATGCCCATCAGCAAGGAGAAAACGGAAGTAAAACGTCTTTATCAACACGGATGCCACGCTCTTGTCGTGCCGTTTCTCGCTCTTTCACTGGACTGCATTCATCTCGAAGGGCAGTTGTTTGTCTTTTTTGTTGCTGTCCTGTTTTTTTTCGTTTTTGGACGTTCGCGTTTTCCTTTTCCTTTTTTTGCCCTCCAACATTAAGTGACGGGGACGACGAAAACGACCAGCACAAAACAACAAAAAAAAAGGCGTCGGCAGGCGCTGCCGCTGTCCGCTTTGGTAGCGCCGGGGCCGGTGGCACTCGCCCACCGCCAGTCGGGCGGCGGAGGGAAGCCGCGGGAGGAGAGAGAGAGGCGGGGCGGAGGTGCGGGAGAAACACGACGGGCCGAGCCGGAAATGCGGCCGCCTCTTTTTTTTTGTCTTTGTTTTTTTGTTTGTTTCCTCCCAACAGTCCCTCCCCGCCGCCCCCTTCCGCTGCTTTCGCGTTTGCCTCGCGCGGGTTCCTCTCCACGCCGCCCTCCTCTCCGCCACCCCCGACTGAGCAGCCTCACACGGTGCCTCTCCCTCACACACACACAGACAGAGAGAGAGAGAAGGGGAAAGAAAGAAAAACCGAGAGAAAAAACGAGGGAAAAAGTAAAGGAAAAAAAGGACAACACACTTCTTTTACATATAACCAGGGGGGATCTACGTTTTCCTTCATACTCTTCT